CACTATATACCAGATGAGTACATCCATACACTATATACCAGATGAGCACACCCATACATCTATACACTATATACCATATGAGTACATCCATACATCTATACACTATATACCTGATGAGTACATCTATACACTATATACCAGATGAGTACATCCATACATCTATGTACCAGATGAGTACATCTATACACTATATACCAGATGAGTACATCTATACACTATATACCAGATGAGTACATCTATACACTATATACCAGATGAGTAAATCCATACATCTATACACTATATACCAGATGAGTACATCCATACACTATATACCAGATGAGTACATCTATACACTATATACCAGATGAGCACATCTATACATCTATACACTATATTCCAGATAAGTTATTTATTTTTGTAAAAGAAAACATTTAGAAAAGTGAAAGATACCTTCAGCATGATCCCTCTCTCTGTTGTCGATTGTAGTTCTTGGTTTTTTCGTCTTGACATCTTCCTCTAAAAACACAAAAATCCCACTTTATACAAATTACAAATAAAGAGGATGGTTTTTCCCATTTGGCAATGTCACATTTGCTACTGTGTAAACACTTATTTCAAACATAGCCACTCAATGGAGAACTCGTGGATATTAAAGTGTATTTATTTTGAGTTATAACTATTGTGTGAAATTATTATATGAGTATATATTTTCTGATTGAGTGATAGGTCTTAGAATTTCTTACCCTTTTGTTCATCTATCTTGCAAATGAATTGATTGCAGATTCTTTTAATTTTTTTTTAAATTTCCAATTAATTACTGATGTATTTATATTATACAGTTGTAAAAAGGAAGATGGGGCATTGAAAAACAATTTGATTGATTGTCTTTATTGCTCTTTAGTGTCATGATTTTACACAAGTAATTATTAAAGATAGAGTAAAGGCATTTAACCCGTGAAATAAAAATCATAGATCCTGAGGGCTAAATGAACTGGAACGTTTTCTAGTCATTTGTCTATCTGGTTTGGAGAAAACATTTTTTAAAGTGAGGTGTACCTGAAGAGCTCACCCAGCTAGAAATAATTAATTCAATATCGGTCGACAACAACGCTCTCGGACATTCCACAATGTTAACTTCGGGACAGGTTCAGCCAAATATCTGCATAAACACAATGACATTGAAGATGTTGTTATGTAAATATTCTCCTGAACTTAACCGTGTGGAACGACCGAGAGCGTTGTTGTCGATAGACTAGGTGAGCTCTTTAGGTACACCTCATTTTTGAGTTTTACAACGACAATTAGTAAAAAAACATTTATTCAATGAGTTTTTAAGAATTGACGCTGATTTTTCGTAAGGCTTATCCGTAATACTTGGAAGTAGATATGTGAAAACGTCTAGGCAATCCATTTAATGTTAATGTTTCTACAGCGCGATGTTTCATATGCTTCAAATTTTGGATYGAATTTTCAAGCGGCGTCATAACTTTTTTTKTGCCCAAGATTTTCCATCCAAATTTATACACAGGCTGCAATAGTACTAGATGATAAGATTCTGAAAATTTCAGAAAAATCGTACCTGAGGATGAGGAGAAAAAAGCCAAAAACTATAAATAGCACTGTTTGATTTTCGGCCGTAATTTAGGCTAAACATTTTTAAAAAGTAAATCTTAAAATAGAATACACTGTTAGAATCTAGGATAATCCAAGCACATTATATAAAAAATCCAGTTAAATTGACGTAATAGTTTTGCGAAAGGAGCGAAAATAAAATTGTCCAAAATTCGCTCTGAATTAATAGTTCGGTTCCACCTTAATCCATTGTTTAATCGAATATTTTTTCCAATGTATCGTAGGGTCTACTAATGTGTATTAGTCTTATATCCCTTATATCTATCTCACGGGTTTAATACCTTCACTCTATCCCCGAACGACAATTTGTAATGGATATTGATTTTTGGGGGAAAAAAGTAAGTTATGGAAATTTAGCTTATATTCGATTTCGTCTTCTCGTCTCTCGATTTCATCTCTACTTCAGGGACATCCTGATGAGTAAAAGGCACTTCACACCCAGTCTTTATATTAGACATTAAATGAATGTGAAGGTCTTGCAATATAAACTCAGTCTCGCTCACCATTTTCAGCTCTTTCTTGTTTTGTTCGAGTTTAAACTTCTGAACAGTACTATTTATAGTAGCAATGGCGGATCTCGGGCACTCGATCAAATAGGTGACGTCAAGCAACACAGGGAACCCGGCTATATATTTTGGTTTTTTTAGAACAGTAACTTTGCTCTTTGTGGGTTTCCTGTGTTGTGATCGGTTTCCTAATTACATAAGTTTAAGTCGTGGGTCGAGTAGTAGAGCAACAAACACTAAAAGTGTGCAACACTTTGCACTATTTAGTAGTAAATAGTGCTAATCAAATAATAGAAAACAATAGGATTTGCATTATTTAGCAGTATGTAGTGGTATTTATGTTACACACTTATATTGCCCGGGGGGAAGGGGGGGGGGGGGTACTACCCCAACTTGGGTAGGGGTGTGCCGCCAGGACCTCAAGTATTGAACTGTGAGACATTTAAGAATGAACTTGCAGCTTTCGAGACTGAAGTAAGAAATACGGATAACAAGCCTCTTATTGAAGAAATTGAAAAGGTGACTAGCTCCTTTACGAAAATTCTGATTAATGTCTGTGAGAAAGCCGGAGCTTCTCTCAAGCATAGCCAAACCCATTCATCTAGCAGAATTAGCCATGACCCAAGTTGGTTTGAAACCGTCTGTAAATCTGAAAAAGATAATAAAGATAAGTCTACCAAGATATTAAAAATGAAACTAAAAAAGCCTTTTGGAGCATTAGAATTAAAACTACTTTAGAACAACTCGGATTGGGGATAATTTGGATGAAACAAAATGAACTTTCTCCAAGATGGTATGAATATGGAAAAATAATAACCCAAAGAA